TTGGGAGAAAGGTGTAAACAAATTTAGCCTGGGGGCTGAGGGGTGCTAACTTTTATTTCAGAGTAAGTGGGGGTACAGGGAGCCTCCAAGAAAGCTGCAGTTCTGGGGAACTATGAACTTTATCCCTGAGTTTTCTCCCAATCCACTTAAACTCCTTCTCCCCCCCCCCCCAATAGCCGCCTCCCTTCAGTTGCCGGCCAGTCTCATTATATACAGTTTTATGGTCCTGTGAGCAGCCGGTGGCCCACTGGGCCCTCACTTCCCACACTCCCAGGCCAGGACCTCTCCGTCCCCTCCCCCCTTTCACTCCTTGGCTTTCTCAGAGTCCCTGGCCAAAACCAGAGGTCTGCGTGCGGTAAGGGGGCGGGCCCAGGTCCTATCCCTCCTACACCGGCACCGCCACATATAAAGCTCAGGGCGAGCTGAGACCCGGTCCACACCAGGGTCCGGAGGAACAATGGTCACCCGGGATCGAGCTGAGAATAGGGACGGCCCCAAGGTGAGAGGCGGGAGGGGAGGGAGCAGAGGTCCCTAGTCCAGCCAGGGGACCGGAGCCCTGACACGGTGGGTCTGGGGTGAGGTTTGGGTTAAGGTTTGCCCTGCGGAGAAAGGAGCCGGACAGGAAGCTGCAAAGGATGAAGAAGGGGATGGGATCAAAGCAGGACTTAAGTGGGAAGCGGAAGCAGACGTCTACAGGCTGGGGTCTTGGGGGTCGGCACTGTGTGGTCCGGAGGGCGTGGGAGGGGCTGGAGTTCGAATGAAATGAGCAAGAGGGAAATAGAACGAAGGGAAGCAGGTGGGAAGAAAAAGAGCCAAGAGGCGCTCGCTTGTCTCTGACCCGGAGCTGACCCAGCACGGTCCAGTAGAAGAGAAGGTCCCGGGCATTCCAGAGGGCGGACCGGGTGGAAGACTTTAGGAGGAGGGTGAACCAGTGGAGCAGGGTGACAGCCAGACGGAGGGAGAAGAGGAGGCGCGGTCGCGCTAGGTATCTCCCTTTCTACACTCAGGGCCTCCAGCTCTGAGCCGCGCACCCTGCGGCCCACGTGCTTGGGCGCAAAGAGGGTCCCCAAAGTTCTCCACTGAGACAGAGAGACTGCACGAGACGGAGACGTAGAGAGAAAAGAGGAGAGACACAGAGAGGGGAGGAGGGAGGAAGAGACTGAGAGAGAATACAGAAGACCCGGGAGAGAGAGGAGGCGAGCTACAGAAACTGACCCTATAGGGGCGTTGGGAGGGGGAGCGGAGAGGGACAGAATGGACCCTGTCCTGAGCACGCTGGGCACTTGGGGAAGGGTGGGCGCAGGGCTCTCCCAGCGTCGGGACCTGGACGCCGACGCGGCTGCGCTGAGTCTCGGTCCGGTCGGACCGCTCTCCCTTTCCCGCCGGTCGCAGATGTTGAAGCCGCTTGTGGAGAAGCGGCGTCGAGACCGCATCAATCGCAGCCTGGAGGAGCTGAGGCTGCTGCTGCTGGAGCGGACCCGGGACCAGGTCAGTCCCTCTGCCAGCCCTGGGCCCCGGGCATTCCCTTCCCGCGTCCCAGGGCTTGCTACTGGGGTGGGGACATATGTGGGACTGGCGACCCGAGTCCCGCCCGTGGAATCCCATCCCAGACCCCCTGTCGCTCTCAGAACACGCGCGCTTCTTCGGGTCTGTAAGTTTCTCTTCCAGCTCTGCGAATTTCGCTCCCAGGGTCGGTCAGTTTCACACTTCGGGTCTCTAAAATTCCCCTGCCCCTCCCGCGTACCTCCCCCACCTCCCCACTCCCCCAGTCATCCCGCTTCAGTTCTGCCGGTGGTCAATTCCACTCCCTGGGCTGCTGTTTCAAATCCCCTCTTCCCACGTTGGCTATTGGTTCCATCCCCTCGGGCTGGACAGTTCCGTCTCTGGGTGGGCCACTCCGCGTTCGGTCGCGCGTTCTGTGTGCTGTGGAGCGCGCCGATGCGATCCGGGGGCACCCCCAGCTCCCGCATCCACCCCACCCTCTTCCCCCTGCCACTTTCCCCCTCTCTCCCCACCCCTTTCTGTCTCTGTGCCTCCCCTCCCGTCTGTAGAACCTCCGGAACCCGAAGTTGGAGAAAGCAGAGATACTGGAGTTCGCCGTGGGCTACTTGAGGGAGCGAAGCCGGGTGGAGCCCCCGGGTACAGCGCTGGGGTGGGGCAGCGGAGGGAGGGAGGGGGGACCTCTTGGAGTCTCGGGCCGGGGAAGATGGGGCGGGCCCTGCGGTGGACGGTGGGCTAGGGGAATGGCAGGCTCTCCTCCGAGGCGAGGTTAATAACACCCGCCCGTGTCTGTCTCTGTGTCTCCCTCATTTTCTCCCTCTGTCCGTCCATCTGGCTTCCTGTCTCTGTGCGCCTGTCTGACCTCGGTATCTCTGCGCCCCGCCCCTTCCCTCACCCCTGCTGGGCCCCTACCCTGCCCGCCTGTCCTCCCGCCCGCCGCACCCGCTGCTGCGGCTCCCGGGGTGTTCCCGCGGCC